TATGCATTAGGTTCGGCGCATGAAAAGCACGGCGTCTAAATCAATGTCGAACCTGTGTCGCATATACGACTTGTCTTGTCGCATCTTCGAGTCATGTCAAACTTAATCAAAACCTGTCGAACTTAATTGATTTAGACGCCGCTCCAGCGTCGCACTTAATTCTTGCATTAGATTCGGCGCATGAGAAGTTCGCCGTCTAAACCGGGCCTAAGTGAAGTACAGTATTGCTAACGTTTTTTTGTTTAATTATTTAGTACTTTACAGTATGCACTGCAGTCCATCAAAATATTATACACTTAATGTCTGCACCGAGGGAAATAGTTAATAGTTAGTTTATTTATGTACCTACCCGGTCGGGGCGGGCAACAATTTTTCACTTATTGCCCGGGCGGCAGAGGAGGTCGGACAAGCAGGCCGCAAAGCATCATGGGTTTTAGCGCCTAATTCCAGGCGTGGCTTCAATGACTATTTGACTGTCGTGGAGTGAACGTCTCTCTGAGTAAACAAATATGGAAGCATTCGAAAGACAAGATTGTCAGGCTGCAACACTTCGTGAAAATAGCATGTTATTGCTGTATTGTTGCGATCCTCATTATGACGTGTGAGTTACTGGGACATGCTGTCATTTTAGCTTTATAAATAATCCGCGAGCAAGGCTCGTCTTTCTAAGTTGGATGAACAGGTGGGAAATTTGTCTGAGCATTGCGTGGAATACACGCAACGCGTGTTTACAAAAAGGCACAATCGTGTAAATATTGCCAAATGTTTGTACAAAATAAACGACTGTTTTATGTTGAAAGAGTTGACATGATCTAAATTAATCATACAGAATTTTTTAGTGACGTTCTATTTCAGTACCCTGCTATTGTCTCTGGTGGGCTGTCCGTGTGCATTCGATCTGAAACAGTTGCTAGACTTGCTACTTTCCTGTCGAAGAATTTCGAATGTTTACATGAAAATAGATGCAAGTCATGCATTTTACAACCTCTCAAACTGTATGAGCCCCTATTTTTACGCTTATACCTAAGATATCAAATAAAAGTACATGAAACAGAGATCATTTGTAGAAAGTTTTATCGTGAGGCCACGGCCAGTTTTTAAAATATCTTTATTTCTGTTCCGGTCATCACCAAAATTGCACAAAAGCCGGACTTGAATATACAACAAATTTAGAATCTCATCAAGCACAAAAATACTTAACGTGTAACCAAAATATGCTCATGAAATCAAAATTAATAGCTAAATTTTCAAACTAGACCCTTCTCGAAGCGGTTTTCATGAAAGAAGTTCACATTTCGGCCTTTGATTCTTGGCAAAAATTTGACCACAACACGTGCGAAGCAACTGGGTCTCAAAGACTGAACTAAAACATTGCGAGCCTCTATTTTCCTGACGATATGTTTGATACCTACAAACGCCGAAAAGTTTTTTCTTTTCACTTAGCTATATTTGAAATTGAGGCCACGGGCTATTTTTGAGAAAATACAGTTCAAAGTCAAACTATTTTTACATATTTTCAAAATTTGTCAAATTTCGCGAGCTTGTATTTTGAACTTAGACAGCTGAAGTTACATTAACAAACATACGATGGAAAATTTGAGGTATATAAAGTTAATTTCAACTTACATTTCATTCTCAAATCACGTCTTTCTTCGTTTATTACGGTTTTAAACAAGCCATAGATCGACGTATACGGTATTTACTCCCATGTTCACGTCGCCATATTAACTTCTTCCAATCACTCGATTACAAAACAATCATCCCAAAACAAAGAATTCATGATCGACTTTTAAAAGAATAACCAATAATTTGCAAATCGTTGAATGGAAAGCAAAAAATCGTCAGCTAAAACAGCTTCTTGCTAACTTTCTGCTTTGTTTTGAATGTAAATGCAATGAGCTTTGTTTCTGCCCGCAATTGTTTGGTCAGCGACGACAAATTTCCCACCTGTTATGATGACATACTTTTTGTCTCGGCTTAAATAAAATGAGTTTTGTTTTTGTTAAGTTTAATGAAAGCTTATTTGATTTAAACCACTCCGTCAATTTTTTAATTTCGAAATTTTCGATTTTTTAATGATATTATCGAAAAAAAATTAAAATCAACATAATTTTCATCGTGATGATACCTGAATGAAACTATGCGATCTATTGGTTGATGACAAGGTATTTTAAATAAACACAATCGTACTTTTCTGCCCCTTGTGCTCAGGGCCTTTGCGATGGCTCTGAGTACGAGATTGCATATATTACGATATTGCATATATTAGTGAAAAGGGGAATTCCCTTAGTCTGACCCCCCATGACACAACGAAGGCCTGCGTGCGGAGGAGGCAGAGTCTGACCAGGTGTTGTAAATTAGTAGCTTAGGTTCAGTACAGAATACATATAGTAAAAATTTATATATGCATGCCAATAATGATTATTGGCTGAATAATGTTATGATCAAAAATATATAACTAAGCTGGAACATTTCAATAACAGGAAATACGAATTAACGTTAAACAAAAACAGGAACTTTTAGCATTTTAGTAAATAAGATCGACGGAATGTGCGTACGTAAGGGAAGTTTGTGGGGTCAACCAAGTGGGGTCAAAGACCGAACTAGTTCGAACTGGATCAGTTTGGTAGACAAGTTGGTTGTAGAGGGTTTGATTCTCTGATCTTTTGTTAAATTGCGTATTTAGCTGTCAACTTTTCCGTCGATACCATTTTGTGACTTTCAAAGTCAAGGATGTTTGTTCTGGTGAGTTTTTTTACCTTTTACTTTGACATATTTTTTTTCTTCGTCATTGACATATAGTAGAGTCACGAGACTCTCAATGACGTTTAATATTTTATCTTCGTTATTAAAAAACAATGCCGTAAACCTGTTGCTTTGTTTTGCAATATTGTGCTTTATATATAACACTAAAACTTTATAAAATGTTTTAGATATAGTAAATGTAGAGAAAGGAACTAAACTGCTAAAGTTTAGTTGGGTTTATCTTTTTTGGAAGACTGACGTAGTTTGTAGTTGTACTTTGGTCGGGTATATCAGTTAACCTGCGATAAGGCAAAAATGAAAATATAAAAAGCGTTTGTGCCCAAGCACAATATAGGAGAAATATGGCGTTTTAACTACAGTTTTAGTCCTAAAATGGGCCCCAGGAAATTTAACAACTTTCCAATTTGTACTTATAGAGGGAAGGTTGTATCCCTGGGCCATTAGCCTTCGATAGGTGCAGGGCAGTGTAAAATATTGTATGGCACATTTGGCTTTATCATACCTTAAATTTTTAATATTTTGACCACAGGAATTATGAAATAAAAATCTTCATTTTTTCTATTTTTATAGGGAGTGATCTTTTTACTGTCATGTTATATGTCTCAGTCCATGCAGTGTGATCTTACAAAGGAACACCCTGTGATAGACAAGACGTCTAACAAAACTTTGGGTTGTATGAAATGTAGAACTTGTAAAACAGGAAAGGAACCAAAGATACCATGTGGTACACCTGTTGGCAGGTTTGAGCAGGTTGGAGATTGCAGACAATGCAAGAATGGAACGTACTCTGCAACAGAAGACACAAGGGAGTGTCAAATTTGTCGTAGTGAAAAGTGTTTCAAACATCAAGTCATCAAGGGGGCATGTCTTACTAATCGGAAGGATGAGTCGTATTGCATTGACAAATGTGACCATGGCTATGTAATGAACAAGGAGAGAACTGCATGTGAAGTCTTGACACCACAGCAGAGAACACCAGAGAAGCCTACAACAAGCAATCCTACAACAAGTAACCCGACAGCAAACCCTACAACAAGCAACCCTACAACAAGCAACGGAACCCGACAACAAGCAACCCTACAACAAGCATCCGACAACAATGGAATCGACAACGAACCCTACAACAAGCAACTTGAAAGGAAAGACGTTTACAACAAGTAAACACACAACAAACATTACTTGTTGGATCGGAAAGCTAGATTAAGACGTTAAGGTTAATAAGTGCATCTTGTGATTAGTTGTCAATGACACTCGCATCTGCTTATAGATAATCAACCTTTATTTTATTACATAATTGGTTTAATATGACAAGTGTACATCATGACAGGCAATTGATAAAACTAGAATAGTGAAGCGAATAGTGCGAATAGTGCGAATAGTCGACGAATAGTGCGAATAGTCCGCGAATAGTCGACGAATAGTGCGAATAGTCCGCGAATAGTCGACGAATAGTGCGAATAGTCCGCGAATAGTCGACGAATCAGTATGAATAGTCCGCGAATAGTCGACGAATAGTACGAATAGTCCGCGAATAGGCGACGAATAGTACGAATAGTCGACGAATAGTGCAATAGAGACTTTGCAAGGCTTTGCAGCAGTGCTGTAGAACTAAATTTACCGGGGGGGAGGTGGCTCTGTTGACAAACATGAAATCGTGAAAACATTCGTCGACGTACGTCAATGACGTCATACGTAATCGGTAAAAAGTACGGGAACCACTGAGTATTTTAATAAAATATAAAACAACGGTAACTTCGAAAATAAGCATTTTAATATTGTAGCCTTCGACTAAAATTCAGTCATCGTCAGGAAACATATCATATTTTTTAAAATTTATAATCATTCCTGATGGTAAAGTGGTAACCATATAAGTCATAAATTTTACTGATGGAATTTTATAGGAATTTTACTTGTAAGTTATGGCGTTGTAACTGAAGATTTAAGGGCTTAAGTGAGTTTCGTGTGCTTGGAAAACGTGATTTACATCACGAAACAAGAGAAGGTATCGATTTAGGGACCGATCGTTTATTACGTCTCAGGGGGGGCGGTGGTTTTTTTAAAAACATTATCAATAAAATATGCACACACCCCCATATTTTTTGGAAATGAAAAAATGACCCCCCTGTTCAACTATATAGATTAAAATTTAAAAATATACCCCCCCCCCAATTGCACTAGGCATTTCTAGGCATCAAACCTCAGTGCATCAAATATTCAAATTATAAGGCCTCGCGAAATTGCTAATTCAATATAATATCGAGTCATATATAAAAGCAAGATTGCATATTTTGGCATTCAATACAAAACAGGAAAACGTTATACAAAAATATCATATTAATGAATAATATAAACATGTAAAAGTAAAAATGCAATAATATTTATATATTATTATAAAATGTAGATAAAAAATACCTTTTTTGAAACATTTTCCGCCATGTTTTTTTTTTCAGGTGTAAACCATTGACTGCAATTATTCCGTACAGCGGAGTCACTAAACTAAACTTTCAACTATAAAGAGTTGAATGCTAAGAACTAGATTCCAGTCTTCTCTATGCAAAAATTGCACACAATGGCGCAATCTTGCTTGATTAGTTTTTATTTGTTTTTCTTCTTTTCAAATTTAAAATGGTAGATATATTTTGAATTTCATCTCATAAACCAAATAAAGTCATTTTAATATGAAAGAATCGTTTGCAATTTCAAAATTTAACCCCCCCCCCCTCTTTTCCTTTTGGGAAACAAAAAACTACCCCCAAAATATCCATATTTAAAAATTAAACCCCCTCAAAACCAACCCCCGCCAGAGACGTAATAAACGATCGGTCCCTTATTATTTAAGCCTGTTTTGGGGCGAATTTGTCCGCGCGAAACGAAAACCAAATTTCGGCAATGTGATTGGTCAGCGAAAAAATTCGCCGCGAAAAAGTTGGATCAGTTCCTACTCTTTTACATGTCGCTTCGCGGGGTGAAGATTTAAAATGTTGTCGTCCGGAAAACTTTTTGGTTTGTCGGCGCCACTGATTGTCATTCTACTTCCTGTTAAATATTTGTTAAAACTCAGTGGTCACGTAATTTTTACCGAATACGTATGACGTCATTGACATCAACGAATGTTTTCACGATTTCATGTTTGTCAATGGAGCCCCCCCCCCGTTTCGATAAATTTAGTTCTACAGCACGGTGGAAAGCCTTGCAAAGTCTCTATTGCACTATTCGTCGACTATTCGTACTATTCGTCGACTATTCGCGGACTATTCGTACTATTCGTCGACTATTCGCACTATTTGTCGACTATTCGCGGACTATTCGCACTATTCGTCGACTATTCGCGGACTATTCGCACTATTCGTCGACTATTCGCACTATTCGCTTCACTATTCTAGTTTTATCAATTGCCTGCGTTTTACACGTTAAAGACTTTTGTTGAAATTACATACTTGAAACTATCGTCTCTGGTTTTCAATCGGTAGCTGCATTGTCAGGACCAGAGGTAGCTGATATGTCGGGAAAAGCACATTTGATGACAGATTGATGACGTATCGATGTAATGCATTGCGAGCATAGGGCGAAAGGCGGTAGTAGTATATAAAATAGGGGTTCTGGCGCGGGTTGTGCGGGTGGTGCACTAAGCACCACCCATGACGTAATCAGGATATCATATCGTATCAATTACACGCGCTTGTAGGCCCCGATTACACTATACCGGATTGCATCGAAGCGACGCGATTTCTGTACCGGATTGGCCTCTTGTTTACACTACGCCACTGTAATCCGGTACGTGCCGCGGCGCGAAAATCACTTCGCTTTGGAGGTGATATGAAAAGTAATCCGGTACGTGCTGTACCGGATAAAACGAAGTGTAATCAGGCAATCCGGTACGCTCCGGTACTATAAATAGGTTTCGGCAAGTATATTTTAACATTGTCGTTTTATTTACTCGCTTTTAAAAATTTTATAGCTGTTGTTTGCTTCGCTTTACAATTATTTATTATTTCTAGCGAAGACAAATAAAGATAGTGGTAATAACATTGACTTCTTGCTTTCAAAAGGGCAAAATTTAATGAAATACTCGTCAATTTTCGATAAGAGCGAGACAAAGCAACGTCGGGTGGTCAAGCTTTGTAAACAAAGTTATATTCACAAGTACTGTCGAGAAAACGTCCGAAATGGTCAAAACTTATTATTTGTTTCCGTGGCAACGATAAAAGATACGAGCTGGCGACAGAGCGAAGCGGCATAGTGTAAACACTCTTGATTTTGGCTTCGGTGTGAAAATTGATCCGGTATGAAAATCAATCCGGTATAGTGTAATCCCAGCCGTAATGTATTTAAAGACTGTGGACCAATGATTACTAGCATTTTAAGAAAATTATTACAGTTTAATACTTTGCTAATATTTATCCCGACATATATTCCTTCAACATGAGGATTCCTTCTAAAGCTATGTGCTTAGCCAAATTTCATTCGTGCCCATTGGCGTAAGGAGATAGCTCTCGTGTGCGGGCGATTTACGAACGACTTTTGTCATTCGTGCCACTTACGCCAAATATCTAACATGTTTGATAATTTCTGCCTCGCGTGCCAAAATCTTTCCGTGTGCGGCGAACGAAAGCTATCTGCTTACGGATTGTCGTAACAGCGCATGCGTAGTATACGAAAGTAAACATCCAAGATGGCGGCGCAAAATGAATTGCTGGCCGAGGCAATTTTAGAGGACAAACTTGTCGAACTTTGGCCTGAACACAAATGTTTATACGATGTGAGTTCTGCAGATTTTAGAAATAGGGACAAAAGGGAATGTGCGGTGAAAGAAATAGCCAGTAAGTTTGTCCTCTAAAATTGCCTCGGCCAGCAATTCATTTTGCGCCGCCATCTTGGATGTTTACTTTCGTATACTACTCATGCGCTGTTACGACAATCCGTAAGCAGATAGCTTTCGTTCGCCGCACACGGAAAGATTTTGGCACGCGAGGCAGAAATTATCAAACATGTTAGATATTTGGCGTAAGTGGCACGAATGACAAAAGTCGTTCGTAAATCGCCCGCACACGAGAGCTATCTCCTTACGCCAATGGGCACGAATGAAATTTTGCTAAGCACATAGCTTTAGAAGGAATCCTCATGTTGAAGGAATATATGTCGGGATAAATATTAGCAAAGTATTAAACTGTAATAATTTTCTTAAAATGCTAGTAATCATTGGTCCACAGTCTTTAAATACATTACAAGCGCATGTAATTGATACGATATGATATCCTGATTACGTCATGCGTGGTGCTTAGTGCACCACCCGCGCCAGAACCCCTATTTTGTATACTACTGGCGGTTATCTACGGTTAGTTCCGCTGTTGTCCATAAATGGTTTTGTAAATAACACAAGTACTCAATAAAATGGTTTTGTCAATAACACGAGCGGAGTGCAATACGAAGAATGCCGTATAACTGCGCGAGAGGATGACGAGTTTGCACCATATCTTCGGTTCAGTGCACAAAAGTTTTAGTCATTATCAAGCGAGATCGTATCAATAACACGAGTACAATAAAATGGTTTTTCAAGATAAACACGAGTACAATAATCAATATAACTGCGTGAGCTGACACAGGCGGCCCAGACGTGTATCAGTGTATAGTAAATATATCATTATAAAATATACTAAACAATAAAATTTGTAATGAATTTTATATAATTTATCAACATTGTAGCGATTCTACCCTTGAAATTCAAGCGAGATCTCATGTTATCAAATTACACAATTGTCTGAACTCTTTATCGACTTTGTATGTTCAATATCCGTGTTAGTAATAGTGTTAGGTTAGTTCAGTGCATGCTTCATTCGATTCAGTGTCAGTGAAACAATATCAACTAATTCCTCACAATAGTTTAAGTCATTATCAACACTGTAGCGATTTATGGCCTTTGAAAGTCAAGCGAGATCGTATATAGGCCTATATTAATATATTATCAAATTATGCAATGTCCGAACAAAGATATAACTTCGGCCCCGTATCTTCATTGCAATAATCTTGTTCGAATCATTAATCAATAACTACTGCGCGGAGTGTTTATATTTTCGAGATTGTATCTTCAAATTTGTATCTTTTAGTTTTATCACGGTATAAAAAAATTTCCGATTTCTAGCTCGACTGTGAGCTAACAACAACTGAAACTAGCAATCCCAACTGGAAATACAATTTTAAAACGTCAACAATGCGACGTTTCCACGTTGTGCTTGTGTTATGATTCTGGAAATGCCAGAAATCGATTCCAAAGCTCAGCTAGACTGCACATCTATGCTTTTATCTGCTCAATGCCTTTTATCTCCCAGTGCTACTATTCTATTCAGTAGATGCATGTCCGCCACAGCGGACCTATGTTTTAGTTTTTGAGAGCAAATTTTGAATGACATGTAGACCAAATAACTCCAAATGTTATAGCGCTTCTAAATATTTGGAAAATTTAAACTAGGATCAAAGTTATCGGTCAGCTAGTGAAAATCGAAAAATCGCGTCGCGTTGTCGAATCGCATCCGGTGTGCCTGGACCTTTGTATTTGTATTTCAAAATCTTTACAGAGGATAAACATTTCAGTAATCTACTGTTATCAATATGTGTCCTCTATTTAACTAAATAGTCCATACTAAATAATTTATAATCTATATTAATAATATATACTATAATTTAATCATTGGTAATAATTTTCTAGCAGTTTTCGAAATAATTTGCTGTCCTTTTCAGCTCGAATCTCGCAAGGCACGTCATTATAAATTCTTGCCGCTGCAAAGCGAAAAGCATGTCTACCAAATTCAAGCTTTACTTTTGGTAGCTTTATCATATTATTTCTGTTTCTCGTATTATGACTATGGCTATTAATTTCAAAATAATTATAGAAGTTACTGCAAATATCTTTTTCCAAGCATTTTCGTAAAACATCACACGCTTTCTTTCTTATCAATTTATCCAGATCAGGCAAGTATATTTCTTCACCAATAATTGCTCGTGCTCGGTTTTCAATGGACGTAAGCTTACGTCGCTTCGTCTCAGTTAGAAATAATTTGACCATCCCACTATACGTAATTATTGGTACAATCATCATTTGATATATCTTCGTCGCCACACTTGGTGTCACGTAGTTACGGATCCTTGATAATAATCGTACTCGGTTACTAGCTTTTTTATAGGCTGCCTCAAAGTTTTCATTAAGTGTCAGACCAGGATCAAGTACGTAACCAAGATATTTGTAAGACTGTGTAGTATTTATAGGTTGCCCTCTATATTCAACTCTCAATTGACGAGGTTGTGCAGATAATCTTTTTCCAGTACCAAAAACCATCATTTCAGTTTTCCCTTTCTTTAGATTTATTAACAATTCATTTGCATCAAAATACTCTGCAATTACATCCATATCGCTTGACAGTGTTTTCTCTATCATTTCTACATTTTTTCCAGAGCAATAGATAACAGTATCGTCAGCATACTTTATAATACGTGAGTTTATCCCTATGTCAACAAGATCGTTATAAAACACTAGGAATAACAAAGGTCCCAGCACTGATCCCTGAGGAACTCCAATAAAAACAGGTTGGTTTGACGATTTATTGCCTCCAAGTTGAACATATTGTTGTCGTCCGAACAAATAGTCTGTAAACCATGTCAATTCTCTATTTCGAACACCATATGCCTGTAACTTTGTAAGAAGGGCATCGTGGCTAATAGTATCAAAGGCCTTGCTGAGATCTATAAAAATGGCCCCAACAAGGTTCTCCTGATCAACTTCGTTTCTTATGTCATCGATAAATTGAATTGCAGCTAGACTTGTTGATCTCTTCATCCGATACCCGTATTGACAATCAGTTAATAATTTTTCTTCCTCTAAAAATCTAAGATATTGCCCATGAACAGCTCTTTCCAATAGTTTTGACAAAACTGGCAACACCGATATTGGTCGAAAGTTCTCAGGAAGTTCATATGATCCAGATTTGTATATTGGAATTATCTTTGCCACTTTCCACATAGTTGGTACTGTGGATGTTTCAATCGATAAATTTAGAATATGACACAATGGATATGAAATAAACTCGCGAATATCCTTCAACATGCCTGCCGGCAGCTCATCAACCCCAGTGGACTTGCCTTTTTGAAATTTTTTCAGCTCATTAAGGACAAAACCTGTTGATATATGCTTAATTTGGAATATTTTAGACTTTATATTCGCGCAGCTTTAAAATTCGGGCAAGAAATTTTCCGCGTTCGTTCTTTTTGGTTTGTTTATTAAATTAATAGAACTATTAATAATTAGCGCATTTATAATGATCGTTGCCAACCTTTGGCGTCAATGTGTGAGGATCAGAGGATCTATGGAAAAATGCAGGTATTCGTGGCGGAATGCTACGTGGAACCTGAGAATATCCCAACTGAAATTGTCCAGAAGGAAGACATTTTTTATTTTTAATGTTGACAGGACAACTTAAAGCATATGATATGTCAAATGTGTATATATGCGTTCATAAATCAACTGATTTGCATTACTAACAACCGGTGTCTCATAGGCATCACAAAGCTTTTCGCGCGGATCTTCGCACAGAAGGCTACTAAAATTTTAGTACTGCGCGAATTTTAATACAAGTAAGATATATGAAATTGTTATTAAACTAAACTCTAATGATTCATTTAAGAGTTATCATTGTTGATATGTTATGACATTGTACAGTATTCAGTGGCAAGCTAGCCATGGCAACTGGTCATGCTATTTTAATAAACCTGCAATTCATTAAAAACTTGCATAGCATGTCTTGTTGCTATGACTAGCTTCACCACTGACAGTACTATAATTATACATACAAAAGCAAGAATAAAACCCCCCGTGCCAAGAAAGTAGAATTAGAATATTTAGCTGACATTCGACTTTGTGCAAGGTGTTTGATATTCAAATTGCACTTTTCGGTCTATACCTGGATCCTGAACAGGCGTATTAGCAATATTCCCAAGTATGCCTGTTCGCAAGTTAGGTCATGCCTAGCACCTAACCTGCGAACGGGCATATACCTCTGGGCTGTGTACATGATGGAAGGTGGGATGATTTTGATGTATTGAAATAAGTCACTAGGCTAAACGAAAGTTCAAAAGCTGGTTAACCGAACTCAAATGTTGCAGAGAATATCATGTAGTTCAAGAAGATTTTTATAGTTTTTTGAACAACCTTTCGTCTACAGTTAACTATAATCCATCTCTAGAAAATGAAGTTTTTTGCTGAATCATGCATCATGACTTATTTCAATATATGGAAATCATCCTGCCTCATATCTCGTCCTGGCAAAGCGGGATCTTATAAACAGCCCTTATTCAGCAAATTGCGCATGCTCCCTTGCCTTTGATCCCTTGGAGGTGAGGCAGCACTTTCCTTGCGATAGTAACTTCTAGTATAGCCACAAATAGCCGTGGCTATAAGGTATACTGAAATCTGGTATCATTTATAGCCACATGCAGCCGTAGCTATAAGTTATACCGAAATCCAGTATCATTTATAGCCAAAATAACCGTGGCTATAAGATACTGTATAGGCCTATTGTAATCCGGTATCATGCATTTATACAGGCTCCTGAATTCCTCCGATAGGCCCTGCATTTATAGCAAAAAATAGTCGTGGCTATAAGGTATGCTGAAATCTGGTATTATTTATGGCCACAAACAGCTGTGGCTATAAGGTACATAAATCTGGAATCATTTATGGCCACAAACAGTCGTGGCTATAAGGTATATTGAAATCTGGTATTATTTATGGCTACAAACAGCTGTGGCTATAAGGTACATAAATCTGGTATTATTTATGGCCACAAACAGTCGTGGCTAAAGGTATACTGAAATCTGGTATTATTTATGGCCACAAACAGCTGTGGCTATAAGGTACATAAATCTGGTATTATTTATGGCCACAAACAGTCGTGGCTATAAGGTATATTGAAATCTGGTATTATTTATGGCTACAAACAGTCGTGGCTATAAGATTAGGTACTGAAATCTGGTATCATTTATGGCCACAAATAGCTATGGCTATAAGGTATATTGAAATCTGGTATTATTTATGGCCACAAACAGCCGTGGCTGTTAAGAAACTGTCTGGATATAAAAACTGTCTGACAAAGCTGCTTGAAACTCATTAAAGTTGCGTTTTGAACAATTCACATGATGTGAGGAACATTCAAATTCAAGGCCTAAATAGTCACATGTACGAACCCTACATAATCCAAACTTTAGAAAAGAAAACTTCAATCTATTGATCCAGAAACGATTTCTGGGAAAACATATTCAACATTATGAACATATATTATCAAGCTGGTGCAAAATGTTATTTAAAGATTTGTGTTAACCCTGGGTTAAGCTAACTTGCTTTTTAACAAACAGCCCCTGGCATTTAAACAGGGAAAAATAATAAAGTAAGGCACATTGGGGTGCAATGCAACTTAATGGGTTAACCCATTGAGTTGCTTTAGTTAATAGTTTGTTTAACGCCAGACGATTTTACTCGTAGAGGGGAGACTGCTGGCTCTGATTGGGTTAAGCAAGAACAGTGACAATATTGATATCATCTCCAACATGAATCGTCCCAGGTATATCGGCAACTTAATGATTTTCAAACAAGGAAAATTTTTAGAGAAAGAGAGTCATAAATGGTTGGCTGAATGATTGACTGAAGGGTGTTGTTGACAGAAATTATCGAGTGGAAAAAACCATGAAAAAAATATTCAAAAAAAATTATTTCCGACCGACCGACCCTAATTTTTTCGTGATATGAAACCGGAACCACAGGTATTTTTTCTACACCTTACCAGGAACAGCTGTGAAAAATGTAACTTTAGGTCCTTGGCAGGAATTGAACCTATGACCCTGCGATTCTGGTGCAGTGCTCCAACCAACTGAGGTACACAGGCCAGTTGTCAAGCTCTAACCACAAGCTCATGTATATATAAATATAGGCATAATGTATATATACAAGACAATACTGTATATATAAATACACGGTTCCGGAAAGTACTCAATGACGGTTCCGGAAAGTACTCAATGACCTCACCTTGCCCATCCTTTTATTGATCGACGTTATGCTTTATCGCCAAAGTGAGATACTTTCCAGAATATACACAAAAGAATATACACTATGTGCAAGATTTTAGAAGTTTATAATAATTATTAAATATATGATTCATAAATACAAATACAGAAATACATTAATATTAAGTCAAACTAAGAACTTTCCTCCTTTGACGATTGAAGCAAGCTTTAGACAAGAATATCTTCTCATCAACTATCGTCAGAAAAGGAAACAAAATAGTACAAAATATAAAAAAAATATCGCTTTGAGTTTGTACTTTTCGTATAGAAACCAACGGCGGTGCGACACTGCGACCTCTTGGTTAATTTACGGTGTAAATTTCACTTCGCCTTCATCTTTTCCAGTCGATTCATAGTCTTGGTTAAATTTAAACCTTCAACAAGCAAATACATGTGAATAATAGATATTTTCACTGAATTTGTTCTGAAAACAAATATTTTTTGAAATTTTTGAGCCGTCTCGAACTTGCGCGACCGGCGCGAAATTTGCCTGCGTTCTGATTGGATGATGCCCACGCATGCGCTACGTCTCATTTATCGCGCATGCGTTCATTTCAAAGGTTCGGTAAACACAGAGCTATAGCGTCCCACATGCACCACACCAGGCAACTGTAACGTACTTATATACGGAACTGTTACTTTCACTCGTGTGTGGTAGTTACCGATCATAGGATCTTGCGAAAAGGGTGCCAGGTATAATGGTCTGGGGGCCGCCGGCACCCTCCCCCGTCGTTCGTTCGATACCGGTTGGTAAGCCACGTTATCACCACTCGCCTCCGACGATAGCGTTCAGTTTAGCCGAAATCTAGCTTAAACGTTAACATACGGCGTTCTAGCGGCTAGCACGAGACGGACTTGACCGATACGAGCTAGCAGAGTCGGGAAGTATGGACTGATGGGGCACTTTTCTTTCGGCTAAAAATTTTATTTGTAATTTTAAACTATTCGATATAAAACTTCTAATTTACCGATCAATTGAATTATGACTAAAAAAGTTAACAGTGTGTTTTGTGCTTTTTATCTAACTTATAAAAATGTATCTTTGATTCTTCGGCTACTTGTTTATGTCATATCAAATTTAAAAATACGATTAAAAACCTAAATTAAACTATTTCAACTCAACTCAATTTATTTTGCCATAAAAAAGAAGAAATTTAACAAATTTATAATTAGTGGCAGGCAAGGAAGCCGAAGAGAAACCAAAAGGCTGCTGGCTTTTGTGTTTTGGGCTATAACAGTCTTTTAAATTGTTCTAAAGACTAAAGTTTAAGTTTCACGCCAGGATACCAGCTGTTTCGCCATTTGGTAGGTACCCGTCTACTTTCTGGTCTGCATTCATTTTAACCAATCAGATCACGATCCATAAAAGCTTGTAATCTGATTGACCAAATGAAGTGATCCGTTAATCCCACCAAGCTTAGCCTGCGGCCCTGCGTAGCGGCTCTCACGGAGAAAGCCGCTACGCAGGCTACACCAAGTTTCACCAAGCTTGGAAGAGTTTGGGTAATTGTCCATCCTCGTCCCCAGGCCCAAGCTCGGGCACGAGGATGGTAATTGTAGAGCTGCCAAAGCTGCCTCGTCCCCAGGCGCTATGAATTATAATGTGGCCCTCAAGTGTCACAGCGAAAGTAACTGAGCCACGGCAAAATAAAATTAACTGCAACGGCAAAGCAAAATAAACTCACGGGAAAATATAGTTAACTCACGGCAAAAGCGAAATTAACTCACGGCAAAATAAAAGTCACGGCAAAATAAAGTTAATTTATATAGTAAGTAGTAACTCGTGATTCCAAAGATATCCAAAGCTTGCGGACATGATAAGATACCTCCAAAGCTTTTGCAAGATTCGACAGTAATTATTGCTCCAATTTTAACTCATATTTTTAACCAGTCAATTAATACAGGTATTTTTCCAAATAGTTTAAAAACTGCAATAATATCTCCATTATATAAAAGTGGAAGCAAGACAGAATGTAGCAACTATAGACCTATTTCAGTTCTGTCAACTTTTGCCAAAATTTTCGAGAAACTAATATCAGTGCAATTGTACGAGTATTTGGAAAATAATGCAATACTTGCCTCCCAGCAATCTGGTTTCAGGAAAAAATATTCAACAGAAACAGCAATGCTGGATGTAACTAATAAATGGTTGATAAATATGGATCGAGGATATTTAAACGGGGTAATATTCCTTGATTTAAAGAAAGCTTTTGACTGCGTAGACCATGAAATTTTGTTAAAAAAGTTAATTCGTTACGGATTCAATGGACTGACATTAGATTGGTTTCGATCTTATCTTACAAATCATACTCAAATGTGTAAAATTGCTCAAACAGTGTCCTCTCCGGCTGTTATTACTTGTGGAGTTCCTCAGGGGTCTAACTTGGGCCCATTACTTTTTCTTATTTATGTAAATGACCTTCATGACTGTCTATCTTTCTCGAACGCAAGTCTGTTTGCCGATGATACAAATTTAACAACTAGCGGTATAATATACCGCTAGTTGTTAAATTAAATAAATAAGGGGCGGATCCAGCCAAAAATCTGACCGTAGCATTTTCCAAGACCTCGCATAGCTAGGGTGGTCTGGGGGCATGCCCCCCCGGAAAATTTTTGAAATTTGAAGCCCGGAAATGCCATTTCCTGCGTTCTGAGCACTGCATGTGACCATTAAATTTGTCCTCATTGTATTCATTTCTCAAGCAAAAATAAGCCGAAATGATCTCAAAATGTAAACAATTGCTCGCGTATATTTTAACATACGATATCGGTATGATACTCGTATAATACGCATATCATTATCAATTGAATACCGAAATGCGCGTATCATCTACGAACGCGTGTATCATACGAATACGCATATCATATGAACGCGCGTATGATATGAATACGCGTATCCTACGAATATATACGCATTACAAACAAATATTAGCGCGCTATAAAACACGATATATATACGCGCATATCATAATTCGCGTATTAATTCCAATACATGCAGGTATACTGTACATACGTGCACAAACACTTTAATAGCGAACACTATACAGTAATTAATAGCGAACACTATACAGTAAAAACTCAAATTAAAATATAATGTGCATCTCTTATCATTCATAAGGCTTACCTGACTGGAAATGATTCGTTTTACTATCTGATTTTATTTCTACCTCGACGCATATAAATCCTTTAGCTTTACGACGGCTTTCATTTCGAAATGCACACAACCGTACTGTGGGTTCCCAATAGCATGTTGTTGATGAGCCAAACACAAATATCAGATATTCCATCGTTCTGGAGCAGTAGCCAATTTCATGCCACCGTAGCAAACTATAGCATTTGCCCCATTCCGATTGGTTTGCTACGTTTGACCGTAGCAAACCAATCAGAATGCCGTATATGCCAATTTTCGCTACGGTCAGATTCGACCTTAATGAATCTGACCGTAGCGAAAATTGATCATATATGGGCAACACGCTACGGTGTATTTCTGAAGGATGATATTTTCTAAGCTATAGTCCATTGCGTAATGACCCGCAAACGGGCAATTACAACCGTATTTTCGGGCGGGAATTCTTAAAACAATTAACGTTACGTATTATACATGTCATCAATTTGTCAAAATAAAATGTTTTAGAACATATAAAACTAAATAAAATAAGACCTTGAAATATAAACAAGGAAAGTAAACAAAATATTGCTAAATTATATTTTAGATTGATTTTATGATCCATGTTAGAACTGGCCTATGGAAAATCTGACCGTAGCATATGCTACAGTTGCAACGGTCTAAATCCGCCCCCTGATCTGCTGAAGTTTTTCAAAGTCAATTGAATGAGGATCTAGAAAAAGTTCACCGGTGGTTGCTTGCCATTAAATTAACTCTAAATATCGAAAAAACTGAATATATGTTGATAGGCTCTAGACAACGTTTAAATGATATCCAAACTCCTACAATTAGATTAGGCGATACAGAAGTCAACAGAGTAAGTAAAATAAAAACCTTGGGGGTTGTGGTAGATGACCATGCAGCTTCTTTGAAAAAATCATGTCGACGCTACAATTGCCAAGGTTTCAAAAGGAATCGGTATGTTGAGACGAATGAAACCTTACGTAACGAAATTTACTTTAATGCATGTCTACAATGCCCTAATTCTGTCTCACTTTGACTATTGTAGCCTTGTCTGGGATACATGCAGTAATTATCTAATTGAAAATTTACAAAAATTGCAGAACAGGGCTGCAAGGGTCATTTCAGGCAAATCGTATGAGATTAGATCGTGTGAGATTTTATCAGAACTTGGTTGGCGGCCACTGGCAGAACGAATGAAATTCAAAAAGGCAACGTTCATGTATAATGTGAAAAACAATAATCTAAATGAGCCTATGACAGATATTTTTGAAATTAGTAACACTGAATTTCAGAATTTGAGAAGTAATGCTGTTAATTTCCATTATTCCTAAGCCTAAAACCAAAGTATTAGCTACTCGGGGGCTTTACTATGGAATAGTTTGCCAATTTCAGCAAAAGAACAGGGCATAACGATTAATCAATTTAAAAGTATTCTTGGTAGCCAATGCTTTTTCTAATCCTGATTTGTTACTTTATATACATATATATTATTTAGTGTGTTTGTATTAGTTAAAGTATTAGTGTGTATAATAGGTTTTTAATATTGTATTCAAACGGCCCCTTGAAAATCAGTTTCTTTGTGCTGAAGGGCTACCGTTTTTAAATAAGTTTAAATAATAATAATAAAAAAAATTGGAGATCCGGCGCATTCCCGCCATTCTTGTAGCAATGTAGCGTGTGAACCTAGTGTTTGATGTTTTGGTCAGTGTGTGACTGTTCTCGTGCCAAAGACCACAACTTTTGCTCCAAAAGTGGAATAATATAATCTTCGAACTCACATGCATCCCTACCCTGAATTCCAGAGCCTTCGACAGTAAATAATAAATTGAAACGTCGCGAAGGCTCTGGTTCAACGGGAAGATTCTGTGATTAAACCGCGCCAATCACAAAACAGAATTAGTGGTTTTAGTACAGATTCTGTACTAAAACCACTAATTCTGTGTTGTGATTGGCGCGGTTTAATCAAAGAATCTTCCCGTTGAACCAGAGCCTTCGCGACGTTTCAATTTATTATTTACTATCGAAGGCTCTGGAATCCAGGGTAATGCATCCCAGAGATTATGTGAATTATGCCTGAGGACATTCTCGTACCCAAAGCCCTTCTTACGCGCGGTGCGACGAGGGGCTCTGGCCAAATCCATATCCGAACTGGCATCTGATTGGCTAGTTCTAACACCGGGTATTGTTTTCTTACCATGTTTTTATGGTATCCGGTTATGGATTTGGCCAGAGTCCCTCGTCGCACGCGCGTAAGAAGGGCTCTGGGTACGAGAATGGTCTGGCGATTTTTGCTACGATTTTAGTTGCGATTTTCTCCTTTTGGAGATGTGAAGGAGTGGATGAGTTATAAATGTTCCAGGTTATGAAATCTTATAACAACATATTAAGTAATCTACTCCTTCGCATCCTCCAAAAGGAGAAAATCGCAACTAAAATCGCAGCAAAAATCGCCCGTGTACAGGTAAACGGGCCTTGGCCCTTGAGGAGAGAGCGAAAATTTTCATGGTTCACAAAAAAGATACAGTATCTGTAGCTTACACGAAGTACATGATAGGAATTCCAATATGGCCGATTTGAGAGACATAAGGCGGTAATAAATCCATGTCCTATATACGCGAATATGAGACACACTCGCTCTATATTCACATGTACACCGTTATCCACTGTTATCTAGTGTCATCTACCGTTATCCACCGTCATCTAGTGTCATCTACTGTCATCTACCGTCATCTAGTGTCATCTAGTGTCATCTAGTGTCATCTACCGTCATCTAGTGTAATCCACCGTCATTTACCGTCATCTAGTGTCATCTACCGTCATCTACAGTCATCTACTGTCATCTACTGTCATCTACAGTCATCTACCGTCATTTAGTGTCATCTACTGTCATCTACTGTCATCTACCGTCATCTACCGTCATCTAGTGTCATCTACTGTCATCTACTGTCATCTACCGTCATCTACCGTCATCTAGTGTCATCTACAGTCATCTACTGTCATCTAGTGTCATCTACCGTCATCTAGTGTCATCTATCGTCATCTAGTGTAATCCACCGTCATCTAGTGTCATCTACCGTCATCTAGTGTCATCTAGTGTCATCTACCGTCATCTACAGTCATCTACTGTCATCTACTGTCATCTACTGTCATCTACTGTCATCTACTGTCAACTACCGTCGTCTACCGTCATCTAGTGTCATCTACCGTCATCTACTGTCATCTACCGTCATCTACCGTCATCTAGTGTCATCTACAGTCATCTAGTGTCATCTAGTGTCATGTAGTGTCATCTAGTGTCATGTAGTGTCATCTAGTGTCATCTACCGTCATCTAGTGTCATATACCGTCATCTACCGTCATCTAGTGTCATCTAGTGTCATCTACCGTCATCTAGTGTAATCCACCGTCATCAAGTGTCATCTAGTGTCATCTACCGTCATCTAGTGTCATCTAGTCTCATCTACCGTCATCTACTGTCATCTAGTGTCATCTACCGTCATCTACCGTCATCTAGTGTCATCTACTGTCATCTACTGTCATCTACCGTCATCTACCGTCATCTAGTGTCATCTACTGTCATCTACTGTCATCTACCGTCATCTACCGTCATCTAGTGTCATCTACAGTCATCTAGTGTCATCTAGTGTCATCTACTGTCATCTAGTGTCATCTAGTGTCATCTAGTGTCATCTACTGTCATCTAGTGTCATCTACTGTCATCTACCGTCATCTACCGTCATCTAGTGTCATCTACCGTCATCTAGTGTCATCTACCGTCATCTAGTGTCATCTAGTGTCATCTACCGTCATCTACTGTCATCTACTGTCATCTAGTGTCATCTACTGTCATCTAGTGTCATCTACCGTCATCTAGTGTCATCTAGTGTCATCTACCGTCATCTAGTGTCATTTAACGTCATCTAGTGTCACCTACCGTCATCTAGTGTCATCTACCGTCATCTAGTGTCATCTAGTGTCATCCAGTGTCATGTACTGTCATCTAGTGTCATCCAGTGTCATCTACAGTCATCTACTGTCATCTACTGCATCTAGTGTAATCCACCGTCATCTACTGTCATCTACTGTCATCTACCGTTATCTAGTGTCATCTAGTGTCATCTACTGCCATCTACTGTCATCTACCGGTCATCTAGTGTCATCTACTGTCATCTACTGTCATCTACCGTCATCTACTGTCATCTACCGTCATCTA